CCCTTCTCTGGACACGCTCCAGCACCTCAACGTCCTTCTTGTAGTGAGGGGCCCAAAACTGAACACAGTATTCGAGGTGCGGCCTCACCAGGGCCGAGTACAGGGGCACCATCACTTCCCTCCTCCTGCTGGCCACACTATTTCTGATACAGCCAGGATGCCATTGGCCTTCTTGGTCCCCTGGGCACACTGCCGGCTCATGTTCAGCCGGCTGTCGACCAGCACCCCCAGGTCCTTTTCCGACAGGCAGCTTTCCCGCCACAGGTGTTGCCCTGGCTAGATACAGTACCATTTGTATCCTAAGCACTTCTAGCAGTATTGAGGTCTTTTCTTACACATTGCCCTCAGGAGATGAATGAGCTCCTTATAGTCTGGGGAAGAAGACTGATGCTGGGTGGTCGAGTTGGGGTGCTTTCTTAGAAAACACTGTTCAGCTCAGGCTGCAGATACAAGGTGGCTTCCCCACTTTTTCTTCTATAAATCTTTGTTCAGACATGTCTGCATTTTGGCTGTGAATAAACACCAAATATATTTGTTATGAAAGACAGCATGCAGATAGTACTGCTACCATACTTCACTTTCACTAAAGCATGCTCTAAAAGAAAAAAAAAATCAGTGGCTGTCTTTTTCCAGTAGAGTCATAAGCCAGAAACAACCTGGACACTGTCCAGATCCCAGTACTTGAGAATCTGGCCTGTTAAAAAGCAGATGTGGGTCAAGATGTAAATATTTTGGCTGAATTTCATCTTCAAAACAGCAATACCATTTATTCTGTGAACAAAATGTGCCTTCTGCTTTTGATGAATCTGGTTCAGCAGCTCTATCATTCAAATTAGTTCTGAGTTGTGAGAAGATATATTATGTTGGGAGATCTTTTATCATGTACATATGTGATTTTTTTTCCCTCAAAAATATGGCCATCCTTTGTCATTGCTAATATTTACATAGGCAACTCCTTTGCTGGCAAGAAGCTTTGAAATGACAGAACAATAGGAAAAAACCATATTCTATTTAACAACTTTGCAGGAATTTTTGGCCCATGGCCTCAGCAACGTGATTCCTTCATTTTTTTTTTGCATACCAAGTGCTGCAGCGATGGGACGGACGGCACTTTTATACAGTACGGGCGCCAAAACACAGGTAATGGGTTAGAGTGAAGTACGTAGGAGAATTAAGGCTATAATACTGCTCACTGGAACTTGTACTCATTTATCCATTGTATTTCCTTATTCTCCCTTTTTCTCTGTCCTGGGAAATGACTCTGCCCTGTCATTTTTAACAATCTGCATGGAATTGCATCTGATCAGCAACTGTCTTACTAGAAAAGCTAATGGTTCCACTTATTCATTTTTACCTGTTTAATTGAATATAAGCTCTAAAGTCTATAGTAGTAAGGAGGTTAGAGGTTGTGTTTTCAGACTGCAGGAAACTACACACAAGCCTTTTCAGTTTTATGTGAATTTGTTAGTACTGTAACAAAAGTGCCCTCTAATGGTATTTAATGGATTTAACAGTACAGGCTAAGCTGAAGTTTTAGAAAAAAATCAGATTTAATTTAGTGCTTCTATCTGATTTTCAAAATAAAGTAAACGTAACCTTAAGAGCTGCTCCTAAAAAACACAAGCTATCTCCCAACTTCTGCCTTGTGACATGGTGTACTTCTCTGTCCGTCCAGCATACATTGAGCCCACAGAGATGACACTCAGATTTTTGAGGACTTTTTGGGCTATTTCCTGCTGTTGGAAACCAACCCCGGAAGTTCTTATTGCAGCAGCTCAGAAAAGAGGGGACTGCAATCGATGAAAATGATAATTGTGACTCTGTAAGGCTGTTACCTGTCCAAACCATGCCCATGAACAAGAGAGGTAGCAAGCTGCTCATCTGTGACCTTTGCTTATGGTGGCACCACGTGGGCCACCGCAGCCAGGAAACCCCTGGGACAGCCCCCCTAAGCACTGCCTCTCCCTCCTTCCTCTGAAACTGAAGAGTCCATCAGTGGCATCCTGCCACATAAATGTTATGTCCTTTGGAGTTTGTTGCTATTGTCCTTTTATAACTGTTGCTCTTGCCTGTGTAAAGGACATTAATTACAAGGAAAAGGGTAACGAGGTACAACTGACAAGGTTAGTACAGTCTATAGGTGCTGTTTCTTCTTGACCATGTCCTGCAACTATTTCTCATGCAGATACCACAATACTAAGAAACGATACAGGGCTTTATTTCAAAACTCTACATGTTAATTACTTGCTAATTAGCCTACACAGTACTCTGAACTCAATTAATCATAATGAATAATTTATCCAATAATAATCTCTAATAGCATTTATATGCAAATAGTTTACCTACCACTTTGCTATTAGTGATTTCATATCTTTGAGTCGGATTCAATGTCATACCACGTGCCCTCATCCTCACAGACATCCTCTTCTGTTACCTGTTCACGTATTGTCTGTACAATTTGCAGTTGTACTACATCATGCTTTTCCAAGGAAGCTTTAAGATAACCTGAAGACCTATACCTGAAGAGCTATAACCTGAAGGCATATAGGGTATCTGAGCACTTTGGCTCTGGTACATGTAGGCAAAGGCCCCGATAGAAGGTTATTCAAAATATGAAATGGAAAAAGAACCACCATAGTTTGATTTCAAGGTAGAAAATACATGGTAAAAATAACAAGTATCTGCTTGGTTTTATCCTTTGGTTTCACAGTATAGCAGAGCCTGCATCCAAAATTTAGAGTGTGGCCATGCGTTAGCACTATGAGAGAACTTTAATAAACATAAAATTCTCTCTCCTGCCTTCTTTTTAGAAAGCAACACATCCACTTAATCCTCTACTTTTGGGGCTGTCTAGGCAGAATGAACAGATGAGAAGAACATCACTAATACATGTTGGTCAGATCATAGGCAAAAAGAAGAGCGAAGGGTTGCTTTGACTACATAGAGAGAAGTCAGTTTACTTTGGCATACGTCATGAAAGAAATGCAAAGAGCCTTTCAGGGGCTCAGAGCAGCCCTTTTTTCTCCAACGGCTATACCTGGGATTCAGTGATGTCATTTATTCTTCAGTGATATCTTTTCCTGGGAGAAAACAGAAGTGAGGGACAGTATCATGGGCTAGAAGTGTCTTTCAAATAGAATCAACAGGGTTTTTTTGGTTTTTGGGAAGGCGGAAAGAGGGAAAAGTTCCTTGTGACTTTACCAGCAGATTTTGTGTCTCTCTTTCTGTAAACACTCTGTCTATCCTTTTTGATGGCATTTTTAAGTACACCATGGCTTTAATTTTCTAGTGTTTTAACAACTTGTCTGGTTTTGTTTTTAACAACTTGTCTCTTAAAATGAAACCTAATTATTTTAGTAAAGAAACATATTATCAATATAAAAATAAAGTGAGCATCTGTCTCCTTATTGTCAAAAACCTTCTGTGAATCTGGACTGTGTCTTAATGAGACCAGAAGTACTCTACTTTGTGAGCAGAGTGGAGTAGGAGATTGCAATTTTACTGTGGTTTTCCATCAGATTAATACCATATAATACTGTGAAGAAACATATAATTCTTAGACCATATATTTCTCTGGATTCATGTCACCTGCATTAATTCTAATTTTTAATATATTTTAAAAAATTGTTCCTAAATTTTCAGAAGTAAAGTCCACTGATATTAACATGAAATCATTGGTGGTTTCTGACTTAACACAATAGTTTCCTTTTAGTGTTGATCCCAGTAAAGGAAGTCAGAACTCTTCTCTTGTGCAAAAATGACGACACAGTTCTCCATATATAATTTTTGCTCAGTACTATGACAGATCTGTTATTTAGTGCAACATAGGGTGCATGGCTATAAATATGTTACAGAATGACAGTGGGTGCTGCGAAACTTCTGGGATGAGTTATTGCACACACACACACTCCATTTAATAACCGAGTGTGTAAGTGATGCTGTGGTCTGTGTCTGTGTGCTGTCAGCAGGGTCAAGCACAGATGTTGAGATCTCTTACTATGTTTTCGCTGTAGTTGGCTGAAGCTAATCACCAGAGATTAAAACTGAAATTATATATATCTGCAATCCATAGACATGTTAATAGCTAACATCTTCACATCTCATTCTTGACTTTGTCTACAATATTTGATAATTAGTCCTTTCCACACTTTTTTTTTTTTTTTGTTGGATTGAATGATCTGCTTTTCTGGTTTATTGTTTTAGGTGGCTTGCCTTATCTCTTGTGTATTAATTCTTGTGGTGATCTGTGCAATTGGACCTATGCTGTACTGGCTGCCTATGGTACGGTACTTCCTTTTTAAAGATTATGTCAAAAGTTTTCTAATTACTTCATTTCTTTCAGGGAAAGACAGTACTATCTCTAAAACAGCTCTATTTAATTTCAATGGGAGAAAGAATAGTAAGGGCACAGCAAGTCTCAAAATCATAAAATACAGAGGTGACAACATAATACATACAGATTTTACACATATATAGTTGCATTTATAGGCTATCACATAAGTATATAAGAAAGCATTTCTCTTCTACTTACTTTTGGCACATAGTTTATGAAAAATATACATCCAGATTGCTGTGGATTTGTAAATTGACAAAATGTGGTAGAAATTAATGAAGATTCACAATTTTTCTCCAGTTATGCATATGATGTATGACTTTTCTTTTCAAATAAGTCTGACACAAATGATTGTGGATAGTGATCTAAGCTTAATTACAGAAAGGTTATGAGGTATTCTTATATCTCTGTCATGGAATATATCTTCTATGCTAAGACTCTAAAGCAACGTGGTGTGTTTTCACATAAGCTATATCTAGCTTTTGGTATTACAAATTAATAGTTAATTTTAACTAGAGGCATGTCAAAGATGCAACATACAGCTTCAAAATTATCCATAATTCTGCCGTGTTTGTACATGAAATTTTAACTCAACTGTGTTTTAAATTTACTTTGTGCTATTGTTTACATAGTGTCACATGAAGGTTCTCACTTTTCAAACACAGATTCTTTTATAGCTTATTTTAACCACACAAAGTAAGGACATTTGTAGAGGGGTGCACAATATGTCCTTTTTCTTTCTATACTGCTTTCCTACCTTCATTTTTTATATGGATTATATGTAAATTTGACTGGTTTCCTGTAGGCTTTTTTCCCCATATTTTAAAAAAACTTTTCATATATTGCTTTCTTGACATTTTATTTCTTTTCTACTGTGCTTTTTCAGCCCTCTCCACCTATGCACTGCAAGTCCATCACTTTGTATTCCATCCTTTTTGGCTCCAGACAATTTCTTCATCCATCTCCTCCTCCTTTCCAATTCGAAGAACAATAAATTATTTTGTTTGCCTCAAAGTTAATGGATTTTTTGCTCTAGAGGCCTCCTCTAGGTGGTGAAGAAGGGGAATTAAAATTCTTTGCTGTGTAGAAGTTGAGTGCTGATTTGCTTCTGAGTCCCCCAGACCATGGCAGAATGTAGTTGGTCTGGTGACACATGGAGAGTCTCGGCAAGTCCTGAAGTTTCTGTAATTTTTCTCACAATTAGGTGGTCTATAGTTTGACTTCAGGAAAAAAAAAATTGGTTTGATACAATTATATTTGTGTCACAAGGACACCTGTGCTTGTCCCATTTTTGAAACACTAACTTCAGTTTTTTGATAATTTAATTATAATATTGACTGCTAAATTGAAGAAAGAGCATTTGTTTTCACTACCAATTCTGCAAATGGCTTTTGTTTTTTATTTCTTTGCAGTGTGTGCTAGCAAGCATTATTGTTGTGGGCTTGAAGGGGATGCTAATGCAGTTCCGTGACTTAAAAAAATACTGGAATGTGAATAAAGTAGACTGGGTAAGTGAAACTTAATCTAAGGAGGTTTTCCTGAGACCCTTTAACAAATACCTGCTAAATAAACTTTAATAGTTCTGTGGCCCTAGAAGAGATAAGTGCAAGCCATTATTGTTAGGGTTTTTGTGTACTGTTGGCTTATTTTCTATCTCAGAATAACAGCATCTGTAATGTCAATTGTATTAAAAAAATGTAATTTTAGCAAATGATAAAGAATCAAACCTAGTTTAATGCTAAAGATGAGTGTACAGACAGATCAAGTTAATCTGAGCAGGTGTGTGTCTAATTTTGTATGCCTTCTCTAGCTGGTTAACATGCTTTTGCTATTGTAATGTTATTGAAGAGATTCTGGTATCTTTGGCCTCTGGGGATATGGAATGACCGTACAGGACAAACAGAACTGGAAACACTAGAGATGCAGAAAGATACATGTCCTAGGGTGCTGTAGGTAAATTGCCTTAACTCCTTCAGATTTTGCAAACACAATATCTATTGTTTGATCATAATGAAAGATTCTGCCGTATGAGAGGAGGAATACATTGGAAAAAGCAGATAGATGGAAAGAGACATAGTATGAAAATCTAGTTTAATGCGAAGTCTGAATAGTCTGACATACATTTGCACAGAATTCCTAGCAAATATTAAAGATGAGTCCATGTTTAGGAAGACTCCTAGATTTCTCTTCTGTGGGAGTGTTTGAATGTATTGGCCAATTAGTGGAACCTAAACCTCTAGCCACTTAGATTAATACATATTGACATCCCATAAAGCTTTTGGAACTTCTGTTTGTGCAGTTTCAGTTAACAAATGTTCAGAAAGTTATTTTGGCCATATGTTCCTCCTCTGTGGTGGGAGATATAGGTTACTGGAGGTAATATTGGACTTTGTTGAACTCACCAGTGACTTAGTATTCTACAGCAGTAATGGTAAGTCTAGATGGAAAAAAAACCATTTTTTATAGAGTACTGGATTTCTGTATAGAAAACAGAGCTGAGTAAACACATCAAGTTTGGCTATGTGAGATTTTTTTACATTTCATCACAGAAGACTAGAATTATTTTTTTTGTATCATCCAGAAGAAAAGCTCTAACTTTCATGAAATCTTATGTTCCTTTGTTGAACACCAGTGACTTAGTATTCTACAGCAGTAATGGTAAGTCTAGATGGAAAAAAAACCATTTTTTATAGAGTACTGGATTTCTGTATAGAAAACAGAGCTGAGTAAACACATCAAGTTTGGCTATGTGAGATTTTTTTACATTTCATCACAGAAGACTAGAATTATTTTTTTTGTATCATCCAGAAGAAAAGCTCTAACTTTCATGAAATCTTATGTTCCTCAAGCAGCAAAATTCTGAACATATTTGCTACCACCTGTACTGTATTTGGTCTTCAGCTTAACCTAGATTTCCAGTGTCCCAAGGGGTGGATGACGTGAACCAAGAATTATTTTGCGGACAGTGGACTTAAGAAAATTGGTAATTATGGGAGAGAGAGATAGCTTCTCTATCGGTGCATTGAGGTAATAAGTAGTTAAGTTTTCCAGCAGGATATTCTGGAAGCTCACTAGACTTGATGCGCCTTCATAGATAGACTAGCCTGATTGATTTTTGCTTTTGTGGTTTTGGCAGAAAGGGATGGGTGAGTAGTTAGTTATTACATCTCTGACATCTGTCATTTTTATTTCTAAGAAACGTTATAGAGAGGGAGAGTTTGCTGGGTGTATCTTTTTGACTGGACATACTTGAACAATGATTTATCTTCAAGTAGTTGCACCATCAGTCCTTAGCCTGACAGGGTAAATCATCTTGCTTTAAATAGCATCATCTAAAGTAAGGCTATAAATGTTGATCTTCCTTACATTACTGCCTGGTCTGAGGAGCCCCACCAAGCCCAGTGATTTGAGTAACTACACTGGTGTTGATTTTGGCCTGAAAAGATTCACCTCAGCAATTGACAGGACATTGGAAATGAATCAGTTCCATTTCCCAGGTTATGCAAAGTGTTTTGAAGATAAAAACTCTAAAAAAAACCACCTGGAAATAATTAGCAGCTGTGCTTTCTGGAACTGATTCTTTGAAGGGCGTGTGTCATGTAACATAGAAGTCAGGTTTGTTATGCTCATAGGTCTGGCAAACGAGAGTGCGTGGAACCAGAATATTATGGCTTTTCTTACCTTATTCCTTTGCACTTTAAGCTTGCAAATTGTACGTAATTGAACACAGACAGGATAAGTAATATTTATTTGTTGATTAGTTCTTTATAAAAAATAAACCTGTTAAATGTAAAAGGTACAGCTTGAAAGGTACAGCTCAGGAGTTGAACTCGATGATCCTCATGGATGCCTTCCAACTTGGGATATTCTGTGAGTCTATGAAATCTCTCCTTTCAGCCATGGATTGCTTTTTCTTGCAGATTTAATGTTTAGGAGCAGCTGAGTTCAAAGGAACAGCTAGGCTGACAGACCTAAGTAGCTAATACTAAATATTATCAGCTGAATATTATTATGTATATTTGTTTCAGTTGTCTTTCAATTTGTTTTTTATCAACCCTTGGGAATGTTCTGTTTTTACATCCCACCTCTCAAATCACATTCAGTTTCTTTCCAGCTAGAACCCTACTGCCCTTACCCCAACGAGCCCTTTCCTGCCATTCACAGCACTCATATGTACTTCAAAGGTCTCTTGCTTCAGTTAAGGTCTTCTGTCAGTCCCTACACCTTCTTGGATGACTTCAATAATTTCAGATCAATAATTGTGCTATTCCACCATATATGTTAAATACATAACTGTATGCATAACAGTGTTTGTCCTCCCTCTGCTGTCTTCATCTTTTGGCTGTTTCCACTGTGTTGATTCCTGTGTTATCTGCGTTTTGTACATTAACCTGAGAACGATTTGTCTTGAATTTTCGCCTATTTTCGGGGGACTACCAGGAAGTTGATCTGGAATTCTTCTGTAAGTGTATCTCATTTTTCAGCTCTTCAGATCAAAAGTTGATTTCCATATCCTTCCTGCAAGCCTAATTTCTTATGCAGGCCTACTTCTTGACTAACTTCCCTTTTTTATTCTCCAGCTTGACAGTGCACTTTCCTAGTATTAACAAAAAGGCCAGTGAAGTTCTTGTTAACTCTTTGTTTTTAAAGCTGAGCATCCCAGATAAACTGCAGCCATTTAAACTAGGCAGACCACTGCCTGGTAATGGACTGCTGAAGAAAAGTGTTCTTTTTGCTGTTAACAGTTGGACTTGAAAGTGACAAAAGATGGGGAAAAAGTATTTCAGAAGGTGATCCCCTAGGTGAAAAATGACAATAGAATAAGGATTTTTTTCACAAGTTAATTATATAACAGGGATTTGGGGTATTAAACAGAGAAATACTATGGCATTTAAAGAGAAAAAAATGTTAAAAATTGTACAAATGACTTTGCCAGGAAATGACCACAGCTGAGGCAGAGCTAAGTTGTATGCTTGACTTGTAAAGCAGAAAGAATAGCAACAATTTATGGTAAAAATTACACATTCCCTGCATAGTGCTGTGATGGGAGAGGTAGTTATAGATGTATGAATTGTAAGTGTATGCACATATATTAATATATAAGTGTATAAAGAATGCTACTAATTCAGAAATTAAAGTAGATCCAACAAGGAGGGTCTCACTTTTGACAAGTGTCCTCCAAGATCTTGCCAGTGTGAGTTTCTAAGACACAAAGCCACCACTCTGTCAATCTATTCTGTCAAAACAGACTGGAGTAGGGGGTCCAGTGAGGGTCTTCCATGGAATTTTGGGGCTCACTGGTGGAATTTCATGTATTTTTAGAACTTTTTAACATGTTATCCTCAGGAGGGAGATGAACATTTAGATTTGTTCAGGTATTCATCACATAGGGGCCCTGATTCATGAGAGACCACTGAGGGCTTTGCTATATAAACAATTTTCCAAAGAGTAGGAAGCCATCTCTTCTATGATAATAATTTTACACGAATGCTTCCAGCTTATGACATCCTAGGGAGATTTTCTATCCTTCCCGCATTAGTGAATGTGCTACCCTGAGTTATATTAGTTTTGTTGTGGGTTGGAAAGGAATTTACAAATGCTTAATCCATTGAAAGTGTGATTGCCGTATACATTCTTTTTAAAGAATAATATTTATATCAGTCCATCTGTCTCCAGGGCGGTCTGTGCAAACAAATACCTTCTCAACCATTGTGTATGGAATGCTTGTGAAAAATTATATTAAAGAACTACCATACCACTTCACTATTAAGCAGTTCCTGGTTTATGTCTGTAGTGGTCTTCATCCTAAATGAATGAATGATCTTCATCTTTTGTTCTCATCCTAAATCCAAAACACAGCACTGTACCAGCTACTAGGAAGGAAATTAACTCTACCCCTGCCAAAACCAGGACAACTTCAGCACTTGAATTGTAAGTTTTGATGAAAGGTTCCCCAAGGACGTATGCACGCACCAGCCATTTGTCTGCAGAAGGACGTGGGAGCATGGGCATGCTACGCAGCCTGCCTGGAGCCAGAGCCTCCTCCTGGACTCCAGCATCTTCTCTGCCAAGGCACCCCCTGAATGAACAGGACTTTAATAGGATTCTTCTTCTGACTACATGCTGGTGACTGCAGCAAGGGCCTCTGTATCTGAGCAAGTCATCACAGCCTCGCATTATAGACAGTACAGAGCTGGTCAATCAAGTCTTGTTAGGGTTTGATTTATCTCTTCCTGAAGTAGGCAGCAGCATAATGGTTTGAGGTTGCAGAGAGAAGTCCTGAAGCAATCAAAAGGGACTCCAGGGCACTGGGGCGACTGGTTGAAGGATCAGGAGCACAGGTAGTGTTTTCCTCAATTCCTACAGTGGCAGGGAAGAATACTGAAAGGAACAGGAAAACACACCAGATCAACACGTGGCTCAGGGGCTGGTGCCATCGGTGGAATTTTTGCTTTTTTGATCATGGGGAGGTTTACACGGCACCAGGCCTGCTGGTGACAGATGGAGT